CCCTTTTGTTTTTAAAGAATACGAAACAGAGATATGTATCAACCTGTAAAAAATATCTAAAAGATATGCCTAAATTTATTGGGGGGGGGGGCGAATAAAAATTAGATAGACGGACGGATGGATGGATGGACGGACGGACGCACACACACACACGCACGCACGCACGCACACACACTCACACATTGTATTCATTTAACATACTGTATGTTTATTTATTCATCATTAAGCTACTGTATTGAACAATTTTAGACGATATTGTCCTATTTTAGAGGTTCGAGGGTAAACAGGTCTGCAATAAACAAGAAAATCTAGATACTATAATTTAAAATTGTAAATGGTAAATTTAAGGTGCATAGCAACTATGAGGTATCAGCACGTGTGAAGATCTCAGAGTATTCTAAACATAATATTAAAATGTATATTGTATCACAACGCCTCGTGCTCCTTGCGTTTTATTTTAGCATATTCATGTACCATCGACGGCCTGAATATTTAACGTTGCGGGCCGGATCCGGCCCGCGAGCAGTAGTTTCGTGACCCCTGCTATGGAGTAATAGAGTGAAGAATACTATCAGAAGTCGTCCACAAATGTGAGAATCATGTAAATAGAAACGCTAATGAAACTGATAAGTTGTACAAATTAAAGAGAGGACAGATTTTTAAAAGTCTTTTCTTACTGTTGATGAAATGCAAATCTATTGGCATTATGGTACAGATTTTTAAAAGTCTTTTCTTACTGTTGATGAAATGCAAATCTATTGGCATTATGGTACAGATTTTTAAAAGTCTTTTCTTACTGTTGATGAAATGCAAATCTATTGGCATTATGGTACAGATTTTTAAAAGTCTTTTCTTACTGTTGATGAAATGCAAATCTATTGGCATTATGGTACAGATTTTTAAAAGTCTTTTCTTACTGTTGATGAAATGCAAATCTATTGGCATTATGGTACAGATTTTTAAAAGTCTTTTCTTACTGTTGATGAAATGCAAATCTATTGGGGATTATGGTACAGATTTTTAAAAGTCTTTTCTTACTGTTGATGAAATGCAAATCTATTGGCATTATGGTACAGATTTTTAAAAGTCTTTTCTTACTGTTGATGAAATGCAAATCTATTGGCATTATGGTACAGATTTTTAAAAGTCTTTTCTTACTGTTGATGAAATGCAAATCTATTGGCATTATGGTACAGATTTTTAAAAGTCTTTTCTTACTGTTGATGAAATGCAAATCTATTGGCATTATGGTACAGATTTTTAAAAGTCTTTTCTTACTGTTGATGAAATGCAAATCTATTGGGGATTATGGTACAGATTTTGTTTTAGATGACACACTTGGCTAGAGAAAAACAAATTGCAACTGCTTAACAATGTATACGTATTGTTTATATTGGACGATGGGTTAATGATGATAGTGATGAAGACACGGAAAGAGAGCGAAAAGTCCAAAGGCGTGAATTTATCAGGTGCTCCAAAAAGGTAAGATACTTAAGGTACACGATATAAATGAAAAAATATTTTGGGATGATTTCGGTAGGAGTAGGGTTGAGGAATGATGGTGGGTGGTGTTTTGGGGGGGGGGGTGTGAGTAGATCTTTGAGAATGAAGGTTTAGGATTGGACCAATGAAAACTGTATGTGGAGGAGTGATGGGGAAGTGTTCTTTTGAATCGTTTTAAGGAAAGAGGCTAGATGGGTGTCCTTCCTGGACTGAGTTGGAGGAAAATAGTTAGATGGGTATACTGCCTGGATTGAGTTGGAGGGAAATGGTTAGATGGTTATACTGCCTGGATTGAGTTGGAGGGAAATAGTTAGATGGTTATACTGCCTGGATTGAGTTGGAGGGAAATAGATGGTTATACTGCCTGGATTGAGTTGGAGGGAAATAGTTAGATGGGTAGACTGCCTGGATTGAGTTGGAGGGAAATAGTTAGATGGGTAGACTGCCTGGATTGAGTTGGAAAAAAAGGTGAGATGGGTAGACTGCCTGGATTGAGTTGGAGGGAAATAGTTAGATGGGTAGACTGCCTGGATTGAGTTAGAAAAAAAGGTGAGATGGGTATACTGCCTGGATTGAGTTGGAGGGAAATAGATGGTTATACTGCCTGGATTGAGTTGGAGGGAAATAGTTAGATGGGTATACTGCCTGGATTGAGTTAGAGGGAAATAGTTAGATGGGCATACTGCCTGGATTGAGTTGGAGGGAAATAGATGGGTATGCTGCCTGGATTGAGTTGGAGGGAAATAGTTGGATGGGCATACTGCCTGGATTGAGTTGGAGGGAAATGGATGGGTATACTGCCTGGATTGAGTTGGAGGGAAATAGTTAGATGGGTAGACTGCCTGGATTAAGGGGAGGGAGTTAGATGGGTATTCTGCCTGGATTGAGTTGGAGGAAAAAGGTAGATGGGTATCCTGTCTGGATTGAGTTGGAGGAACAACCTAGATGGGTATGCTGTCTGGTTTTCTATATAGATAACCAATAACAAACAAAAAATTAGATGAGGGAACATTCCAACCGACTACTGCAGAATCTTTTGAAATTAATGAAGACAGTGCCATACATGCTGGATTACCCACTATGGTTTTAGAATAGATTCATTCCCTGAGAGGAGATTACTACCGGATACAATTTAACAGGATGTGTACACATAAGTATCTCAAAATTAGATCCAGTCGAACTCAATAATTTGCTTTGCGTGGATAAATCATAAATAGGACATGGAGGCAAGGCATCATTTATCACTCGACTGAAGTCACATGTCACAGTGAAGTTCTCCCCTTCAACGATCTCAGATTTGAAATAAACGAAGAATTATTCTTATTTTGTTTAAAGTTTTAAATTAAATAGTTTCCAAAGTTCAAAACCACCATTATCTACGGGGGCGGCCATTCAGTTGCTGGGCCCCCCGGCATGCTTATTTTTGGGCGTCCCTATAAAGAATAATCATTTTAAAAACTTGCAATAAAATTTAAAAAACTACGCATAAGGTAATGAGTTTATTAACAATTCTTTCAAACAGAAAAACACAACAAAAAAACAGTGATAATTGTTTTTCTTTGGACAGTAGGAACAGCTACCCTGTCGATGACATTTTTAGTTCGGAAAATCTCTTTTTTTTCACTTTATCTATTTATATTCTTTGCAAAATCATTTTCTTTAGACGAAATTGCCAAAGAATTATTTCTGTCCTGAGGCATGGATGATCCTAAAGCTTTTCTCGTCAGCATTATTCTTAACGTCTCCCACATATTTGGCATGCCATCATGTAACTTATTAGTGTTTTTAGTTTTGCGGCTTCTTAGTAGATACTGTCAAAGGGAGAGTATCGTAACAGACAACTGTCAAAGGGAGAGTATCGTAACAGACAACTGTCAAAGGGAGAGTATCGTAACAGACAACTGTCAAAGGAAGAGTATCGTAACAGACAACTGTCAAAGGGAGAGTATCGTAACAGACAACTGTCAAAGGGAGAGTATCGTAACAGACAACTGTCAAAGGGAGAATATCGTAACAGACAACTGTCAAAGGGAGAGTATCGTAACAGATAACTGTCAAAGGAAGAGTATCGTAACAGACAACTGCCAAAGGGAGAGTATCGTAACAGACAACTGCCAAAGGGAGAGTATCGTAACAGACAACTGCCAAAGGGAGAGTATCGTAACAGACAACTGCCAAAGGGAGAGTATCTCAACAGACAACTTCCAAAGGGAGAGTATCGTAACAGACAACTGTCAAAGGGAGAGTATCGCAACAGACAACTGCCCAAAGGGAGAGTATCGTAACAGACAACTGCGAAAGGGAGAGTATTGTAACAGACAACTGCCAAAGGGAGAGTATCGTAACAGACAACTGTCAAAGGGAGAGTATCGTAACAGACAACTGCCAAAGGGAGAGTATCGTAACAGACAACTGTCAAAGGGAGAGTATCGTAACAGACAACTGTCAAAGGGAGAGTATCGTAACAGACAACTGTCAAAGGGAGAGTATCGTAACAGACAACTGTCAAAGGGAGAGTATCGTAACAGACAACTGTAAAAGGGAGAGTATCGTAACAGACAACTGTCAAAGGGAGAGTATCGTAACAGACAACTGCCAAAGGGAGAGTATCGTAACAGACAACTGCCAAAGGGAGAGTATCTCAACAGACAACTTCCAAAGGGAGAGTATCGTAACAGACAACTGTCAAAGGGAGAGTATCGCAACAGACAACTGCCCAAAGGGAGAGTATCGTAACAGACAACTGCGAAAGGGAGAGTATCGTAACAGACAACTGCCAAAGGGAGAGTATCGTAACAGACAATTGTCAAAGGGAGAGTATCGTAACAGACAACTGCCAAAGGGAGAGTATCGTAACAGACAACTGTCAAAGGGAGAGATTCCACCCAAATGACAGGGACATTTTTTTTTTATTCACTTACATCTTAATTAAAAATTTAAAAATGGCATCCGTAAAATGTCCATGATTAAAAACTCTGTCCGAGACGACAATTATAGAGGTCGCTGAAAAGCCGTATCTCCAGGCGTGAGTGCAGTGTGCCAAGATGAGTGCAGTATGACAAGTTATGTGCAGTGTGGCCAGTCAAATGCATTGTGCAAAGTCGAGTGCAGTGTGACTAGTCGAGTGCAGTGTGGCCAGTCGAGTGCAGTGGCCAGTCGAGTGCAGTGTGGCAAGTCGAGTGAAGTGAAGTGTGGCCAGTCGTGTGCATTGTGCAAAGTCGAAGGCAGTGTGACTAGTCGAGTGCATTGTGGCCAGTCGAGTGCAGTTTGGCCAGTCGAGTGCAGTGTGGCCAGTCGAGTGCAGTGTGCACTTCCGGGGAAGAGAAAGGTACCTCGCCAGGCATGATGTTTATGTCAGCTGACCGTAGGTCACAACATAGTCTGAAAGTACTGGTCAAGGCAGAGGCAGACAAATAATTGAAAGGGTGATACAGTCCGGGAGTTCAGCACAATGACACAAGACAGACACTTTGAATAATTAAGACCAAAAAAAAAATAATAATGAAAAATATTTATTTTATCAGACACGTTTGAGCCAGTAAACACAGCATACAAGACAGATTTAATGATATGCATAATAAGCCTAGCAGCAGGCCTATCAAATGATTAAAAAATAATACAAATTAAAATACGTTAAGCATTCTTAGCAGAAATCACATGCACGACACTTACAATTTTACCAAGACTTGAAGTTTCAGGAACTCATAATTTTACTGCTGATTCAATGTTATGGCGGATTCAATGTTATGGCGGATTCAATAATATGGTGGATTCAATGTTATGGTGGATTCAATGTTATGGTGGATTTTTTTAAAATCTACTAGTTATTGTCAGCTTGCAAAAAGTGAGTATTATTTATTCATGGAAGTTACTACCCTAGCTCTCGAAATAGCATATAGCAACACAACTGAAATATGTTTTAATATCTTAAATTTGATTTTTTAACATACGTAAAATATAATATATATGGGCCTATCCATGTGGAATACGTGTCGATAGGGTGCTTAGCAAATGACGGCGGATTTCAAGTTAAACCAACGTTAAAATGAAGACCTCCTGGAGTAAATGTAAAGTTTTAAAAAGTACCAAGGTATATAACACAAGTTAATAAGAGGGCAAATGTATGATTGACAACAAATATTTTAATACCTTTGTGTCATCGTATTTGCTATGAATATAGCAGTAGGCCCTACTTAAAAGAAAAATACGTTGATTGAGCTCCTTAATTTCATACTGCAACCACCAATGTAATGTAACATGCTGACGAAAGATATCCTTTAACAAAATCTTTGACTAACATAAATTCGAATCAGAGAAAAAATATGAACAAAGGAAGACTACTCTTAGAACAGGAAATAACGAGTTTTATTACCTGCCTTACGTGTGATGAACGTACTTTGCCACGATTGAAAAAAAATACTGTTAAATTTATATTATTCAAATAAACATTTGATAGATATAACCCAGGATTTTACTTTTTTTTTCTTATCAGCTTCATAACAAGCGTTAAAACATCAAACGTGAATGATATGAAGCAATTCGTAATGTTCTTTAATTATTTTAATTTTATTCTCATTTTAAACAATCAGACAAATCACTAGACCCATGTCACAATACACAGACCCATGATGCAATTGATAGATCCATGACACAATACACAGACCCATGATGCAATTGATAGATCCATGACACAATACACAGACCCATGATGCAATTGATAGATCCATGACACAATAGATGCAATTCATAGATCCATGACACAATACACAGACCCATGCTGCAATTGATAGATCCATGACACAATACACAGACCCATGCTGCAATTGATAGATCCATGACACAATACACAGACCCATGATGCAATTGATAGATCCATGACACAATACACAGACCCATGATGCAATTGATAGATCCATGACACAATACACAGACCCATGATGCAATTGATAGATCCATGACACAATACACAGACCCATGCTGCAATTGATAGATCCATGACACAATACACAGACCCATGATGCAATTGATAGATCCATGACACAATACACAGACCCATGATGCAATTCATAGATCCATGACACAATACACAGACCCATGATGCAATTGATAGATCCATGACACATTACACAGACCCATGCCACTATTAGTTTATACACACATAGAAATATTACCAACTAAAAATTAAAAAACCAAGCTACCTAAGCTGAATAAAATAAAATTACTATTAAATAATATTTTTACTTCCATGGAGCATTGGGAATTTAATGTGTATCTTATAATTTTGTTCTTTGTCCAATCTTAGGGTACACTCAAATCGGGTAGTTTTTGTTCTTGACATCAATGTCGCAGTTAAAGATTTTGATGATGTAAGTCTGTTTCAACACACCTTTGATGAAGAAGCCAAATTGTAAATGACATATTAATTTTAGGCCATAAGTGACATGTTTATGTTAGGCCATTAAGAGTTAAATTACAAAACCGGAAACAAACAATGTATCTGAGCAGTTCCCATTATTAGATAATTTATAAAGGTCATAGGGGACATAAAAATATCTCAACATTTCTCACAAGTAGGCCTACAAGGGCTTACATTATAAACTGTGAATGATGGTCATTGGATAGTATAATTAGTAGTATAATTAAGAAGGGAAAATTCAGTAGACTGTAGGTCACAGTCACAATGTTATTCAAAGCTGTCAAAAAAATTCCCCTGACAAAATTAATGACTAAACTACCACACTTACTTTGATTAAAACAGCTGGATGTAAGGTCAAGGTTATGTCCTCATCATATGTCACTTTTACTTCAACTTCGTCCAGGATCGACTCAACTATGCCAATTCTTGTAATGTACTAGATGAAGCAGAAATTCCATATTGAAATAATTTGAAGAATTCATGACTATCTGACTGAAAATACACAACTAGCTTAGCTATAAATGGCTATAATTATCTTTTTTCTTTCTCATTTGATATAAGAAAAGTTAGAAATGAATGAAAATGTTTTACAGTTTCTTGATTATTTTTTTTTAAAGAAAGCTATGACCAACCAAACAATATCTGTTAATAAGCATCAATAAAACTGAATCTTTTCTTTACAGTAAATTTACCTTTTCAATATCATCTGACCATAGATAATTCTCTCTCAAAATTTTCTTTACAGTCTCTGCATCATCCAAGCATTTCACTTTATCTTCAATTTCCAATGCAGGACACTGTTCTTTACTCTTTCCTTCACAAAAATTAAAACATAAGATTAGATAAGATGAAATAAGATAAGATTCATTCACTGATCCAAATAAATGGAAATGTTTTGTTTTTTTGTTAAACATTGTTCATATTTGATCAATTTCAGAAAATAAATAGATAAATATTCTCACCATTTTACAATTAGAAAAATGTAAATGCAAGACATAGAAGTATTTGTCTGGTGTAAAAATCAGCAATCATATACCATTAAACTTAACTACCTTAGTGACAAATAATGTCTTCATTATTGATCATTCAAATTGCTTAACCACTGGGAGAACATATTAAAAATTCTGAGAGTCTGGGGAGCTAAGGAATTTGTATTAGAATAACACTGATCCCCCCCCAACCCACCCCTTTTTTTTCTTGATTCATCATCAGATACCATAAAACTTAACTGGTTATAACAAGAACAAGCAATAAAGAAAGCAGTGCCTATGATTTGATGCTGATAGATTTGAACAGCTCTTTTAATTTAGATTCTATTCTTTTTCTAAAATGTAACCTTATGACTACCTAAAATTGGCAGGTGTCCCTTGAAATAGAATCCACCAGGAGCGGCCCGGATAAACTTCAGTTCCACCCTTCCAGTGTGTCCAAGTCGGCAGGCATTAGTTCTTCCTGTAGAATCCCAGGCTACATCAATTCTGCTTCTGCCTGAATCTCGCCCATCATCAGATGTCCAGTTCTTGACATCAGTGACCACACCCAGGGCACCATCTCCACCTGAAAATATACGAATACATCCAACTAAAAAATGTACCAGTATTTATATATTCACCAAATACAAGATGAAAATCTGAGCTGTTGATTGAAAGTGGGGAAAAAAGAAGAAAAACATTTGCGATCGCTTAAAGAAAGGCAAACACCTATTAAGACATAGAAACACCTGTAGTTGATAAAAAAAAACTCAGATAACTACAACGAAAAAAAACAACATATTGATAAGTCTGTACCATTTTGGTTATGAAATTTATAAAGGAAATATCATTTTTATTCAAATGATTTTGCAAATTCTTGCTTCAGGTGTTCTTGATTTTTAAAAATAGAATTAGAAATTTTTTTAAAATTAAGAAATACTTTTATGGAATACTCAATAATTTTTTGAAACTTTCAATAACATCTTAAAACAATCAATAATTTCATGAAACATTAAATAATTTCACACCAAAACTAAATAGATCAGGTAAAGTTGGGACATACCATCTACTTCACCCCACTGCCAGTGCACGCCACGTCTCACTGTAGCACCAGGTAGTATCCCCTTGGCCTGCACCTTCTGAGTTTCACTACGCTTTCCAACTTTTACTCTTAAAAAAAAAAAAAAAAAAAAGTCCAATGAAATAGAGGTACTTAGGTCATTATTTTCACTAAAGGAGTTCATTTAGGGCTGAATTCAATGCTGGAGAAATACTTCATATGTCTTGTGTTTAAAGTGTTATTGTAAAATTGTGACTTTGATTAAATACCTATTAATTTATTTGCTGAAGATTAATGTGTACAATATAATTTTTAAAAAAACATTTCAATTTGGATGAAGAAAAAATCTTATCTTATGTTTGAGATTATGTGACATAGCCTTTGTGACTATGACTATAGATACTGTATTACTAATGATTGTATTGAAATTAAAGTTTAAATTGGATGTGAAGTTTTGTATTGTTCACAGATCTTGAACATAAATTGAACATATTTGCAACAACAAAATTTAAAATATAGAGAAAAAACAGGCTCATTAAAGTTTAAGTATTTTACTTGGGATATATGAGATTAACTAGTTGTACATTTTTTGTGTAGCATGCATATAGTTACCAAATTATTTTAACGGATTTAAAAAAAAAAGATAATATATCAATTATAAGGTAGATTTAATAAGTTTTTAGAATGAAAAAAAAAACGTTATTACAAAAACATTTATTTATAAGAAAAATCGTTGGCCTTTAAAGCACAATGCTATTATTCTTATATAAATTATTAAGGCCTAATCATTACGGTTTAGCTACTCGAGTTTCAATCCGCCAAAACTCGTGTGACACATCATGTTTATCATCACCATAGCAACGAGAGCAGAGGTCAAAGTCTTTGCACAACACACATTTCCATCTTATGCCGTGAATTGGTCTTGCCTTGCATTCACTACAACGCACTGCTGAGTGCTTCACCCCTGTGTGACAAGTAGACAGTGTGATAGTTTGGTCTTGTGACAAGTATGCAGTGTGATGATAGTTTGGTCTTTATAATTCAATTTTAAATTTACAATATTCGCCCTTATTTAAAAAAATTATAAAGATTCATTGTGAAAAGATTCTATGGAAAGCACTTGATAATTCTTTAAAACTTAACTTGTCTAAGTTAGCATCGCTTTACATTTTAACTGTGCTTGTCGAATTTTTGTTGGAAGAATTAAGAATCTTGCATGAAACTGTTTTTGGGATGTGCAAAAATAGATAAATCTCAACATTTTTATAGTGGTACTTGTTTAAGTTAAGTGCAAAACAAGAAATATGACATGCGTTCTCATAATGATTTGACAAAAAGGACAGGCGATTCTTTCATACCATTCTGGGCGGTATCAAAAACACAAAGGCCAAGTGTTCCACCATCTCCAACTCTGTACATGTTTCCCATGCCGTGATCCCAGATGACCAAGACGGCGTCGAGCTCTTGTGTTTCTGTGTTGCAAAAACTTTTGATGACGGTTCCAAGGTGTCCCTCACCAAAGTCTTGGTCTCCCCAGTTCCAGCCTGGCCCGCGAACTACACGGTAACCAATAAAGCTTGGCATGCCAGGGCCATTGGATTCTTCTTTTGAAAATAACTGTTAATAATTTGTTTAAAGCTTAGATGCAGTAATATATGATACTGTGACTAATATCGCACAATCAAAGAAATAATAGAAACAAAAATGCAAGGCTGGTCTACTACATGAGGATATAAAATTGTGGAAGAGTTTGATCCATGGGTTTAATCTTATTTTTGCTTCAGTCATAATTAGATGTCTAATTTTCATAGATTACGATATTTTATACAAAGATTTGTTTTGCTCAAATTTCACCCTGAAAATTGTGATATCTAAATATTTTTCAACTGTAAATTTTTCTTTTATTGAAATTTTTTTAAGTACTTCAGTGTTTACTTAAATGGTCAGATGCATGGAAGCAATCAATCAATGAAAAGGAAGCAAACAATCAATTGGTAAACTCGTAACATTTCTTTTTAATTAGTGTAAAAAATTTAATGACATACTTGATGCTCAATGCAGCTTAAATGCCGATCTATTTCTTTAAAAGACTGACAGTTATATCCTTGAAAACATCCCGCAACAGATAAGATTGTAAGATCTGGTGTTTCTCTATCCATTATCATCTTTCCTGCATAAGATATAAAAAGTGTGGATTTTCTTTTAACAAATCATAGTGACACGAATGCCACTTACAAAGAGTGTAACTTGCATTCAATTCATAGCATTATAAAAGAAAAACAATGAGCAGAATTATATTTAACAAACACTGTAACTTAATCATATAATCTAAATCTTACTTTGTTTTTACCTCTTTTTATTTTAAAGAAATTTAATTATAGTAATCCATAAAATGTAAATTTCAAATTTTATTTTTAACATTTCCACCGATGGCTTTTCCAGTCATTTAAATATTTCCTTCTTTTTTAAAATAAAATTGTATTTTTCACTTATGCTTTTATATTTTCAATATTTATGGTTTTGTATTAAAATAATAAATATGTTTGTATGCTTTTTAATGTAATCAGAATGTATGTATTTTTTAATATTTTTTTTAATGAATGCACTTTTTATGCCCTGACTATGTTATAAGAGTTCTGCACAAATATCAAAGTACATGTAACTCCAGAGTTTTAAAGCCATTTGTTTATTTTACATGCAATCATATCTTTGGCAGCAGACGTCTTCCCTTTAAAAATTCTTTATCACTGTCCGGAGCACAATGTATATGCAAAAAAATTCAACCCTTTAGCAGGTTAAAAGCTTTTTTTCTTCTTTTTTCTTTAGACACTAATATTTGCATTTGAAATAAATATTTAATGGGTTTTCTTTATTTTTTACTAGATGATATGGAACATTTGTTTTCTTTCTTTTTTTTCTTTCTTTTTTTGTATTATTGTACTAAATAGAAAGTAAACCTTCCCCAAACACCAACAAACAAATTTGACTGACCTAGAACCGGGAGATGATTCCTGTAATATAGTCCCCATAAAGTGGGTGTGATACATGTCACATTCACTTCTCCATCATGTCCCATGGGGTAATCAAACACTTTCTTGTTGGACCACTGGACGATAACCTTTGACCTGAATGTTAACAGCAGGTCACCAACATCCAAAATGGTTCCCTCTTCCACTTTTTCACCTAACCAAATAAAATTTTTAAAATTTAAAGTCTTGTTATTTGTTTCAGCCACTGCAAGATTAAACTTAAATTACCAAAGCCTGAAATCAGAAGTTTTCAAAACTGGTTAGAGTAGGCCTACCCTGAAAGTTCTTTGAAAATCTTTGAGCATTTTTTAATAATTATATTGTCTTTTTGAGAAACAGCTGAGAGACACCACTGCAACCCCACCCCCCCCCACCCTCTTTTCGCTCCACTTCACACATTTGTATATCTGTAAATACTTTGCTTTTCATAAGACACCTATATTTCCTTTCTGTGGTAAGATATATTTAGTCAACATACACATTTTCTCCCCTACACCGTATTTGTTACTGTCTTCCAACTTTGGTGGTTGAGGTTTTTAAAATACACATTTTCTCCTCCTTAAAGTGGCTGCCATACTTTACTTGGGTGCCAATTCCATTGTAGCCAGTTTTATTTTTATTTTATTTTTATTTTAATGCAACGTTTAGAATTACCACTGGTGAATTTAAACATGTCATGCCCTGACTGTTATTTGTACTACAGGGAATCATTTACTTCTAGGCATTTCGCCATTGAGATCCTATTCTGTTCTTCTCCAACCAGGCTTGTTCAATCAGCTGTAACTTGTGGAACTAAAAGTTAGAGACATAGGTTTGGGTGACCTGGTCAAGTTAGAAACATAGGGTTGGGTGACCTGGTCACATTAGAGAAAAAGGGTTGGGTGACCTAATAAAGTTAGAGACATAAGGTTGGGTGACCTGGTCACATTAGAGACAAAGGGTTGGGTGATTTGGTCAAGTTAGAAACATAGGGTTGGGTAACTGGTCAAGTAAGTGACAGAAACTTAAGGAAATCTCTCAGTCCAGTTGCCGCTCCTAAATAATAACCCTTGGTGGGACAGAGATAACCCTTGGTGGGACAGAGATAACCTTTGGTGGGATGAAGATACCCTTAGTGAGGCAAAGAGCCATTTAGTTAGGATAGATTAAAGCCCGTATTGTCACTAATTGAGTGAAGTTCCATGGCAAATGACAGCTGACTTTTGCGCTAAAGAAACACTTAAGATGTCTGGTGTTAAATTTTTCTAGTTTTAAAATGTTTGTCTTTGTAAGAATATTTATTTATGTGCTTAAAATGAATATGTACTTTATAAATAAAAAACAGTTAATTTATTTGGATCTTTAAAGAATCTCATCACCCTATTTATCTAAATTGTAAAGAAACATAGTCAGACTATTAGTCTGGTCTGCTCTCATTCACTCTCCTGCTGAAGCTGTCCATGACAGCCTTGGGAGAGCAAGATCCATAGTTACCAAGATAAGTATGACACTGCATTCTTCTGAGGAATGGCTCATTCAATAATGCTTGGTATTTTCCTTGATTACAACAGAACTAAGAAAAATAAAAATATTTAACACATGTATTTATTACCATATTAATATTTGTTCTAACAAGTTGACTTTAATTAAAATATCCTATAACAGGCCTGCACAACATATGGCCCGCAGGCCACATGTGGCCCGCCAGCACCTACTTTGCGGCCAGCGAAGTAATGAAATATTCTTTATTCTTCTCATTTTTTTAAAAGCTTTCCCCCCATCCTATTTTCTTTTGGTCCGCACAAGTCCTGTCCAATTTTCTTTTGGCAAGCACAAGTTTTTCATACAGTTTTACGGCCCGCCTTACATTTTGAGTTATGCAGGCCTGTCCTATAATATAAAATAAATTTACCATCATTGGAGCCTTTGTTCATGTCTTGTGTTCGGCAAACTGTAGCATTCTTAAAAGTGCCCTGGGCTTGGCATTTCTCATCCAGGCTCTCACTCCGTGCTGGCAGTGATTGCCTGTGAAGTAAGTTACTATAAATTTTGTGTCCAAAATTTTTTTGGTGTAATTTTGTTTAAATAATACAAATAAAGCTTAGATAAAAAAATGAAGGATTTTTTATTTATCCACAACATAATATTTATACATAAATATCATTAATGTGACCCTAGTCAATAAGTATATCTTACTTTAAACTTTTATGTTTTGTGAAGTGACAATTTAAATACTAACTGCTTTATATAATTATTAAATAAGAACTTTTTGGTTGGCACCAATAGTTAATTCTGGAAATTACCACAGTAAGTAAGAGAAATTAATTGATTTCTAAAGAGAAAATATTTTAGCGGTGAAAATTGAATAAATATTTTAAATCTATATCTATTTACGAATTGTTTATGGCTTGATCATGTGAATTTACATCGGAAGGGGGTCTGCGCATGAAGACAAAATGGCATAGATCCGTTTGAATGTAAAAATGTGCTGGAGCAGGTTAGAAACCCCACATGGGCTGTAGTGTCATTGATGATGGTTCATTCTTATTTTAAGTTTAATACAGTAATGTGAGTATTTACTATCAACTTCCATATATTGTTCTTTTTGTTTTATTTTATCTACATTTGTTAACGACACCTTACATTTAAAAGAAACCATCTGGGGACCATAAAGTTATGGACTAATATATAAAAATGAGACAAACCCTGATGATCTGCAGCTGTCCAATCTGATGAAGCTGTGACTTGTGTCATGTCCATCATTCATGTAACACCTTGTACAGAGATTGATATCAGGGCACACTGAGCACTTCCAACGAATTCCCTTTATTATCTCAGAGTTACATTCATGACATGGTGAACGATGAAAGACACCTTGATATTATAAGGTATTTAATGGGTTTTTTAAAGTTATTTTTGTAAAGGTTTATTTCATCAAAATTTTATAAATTGAAACTAATGTGAATAGTAAGAAAGAAACTATAGAAGTTATAAACTATCTCCCCTTTCAATGAAGCAAATATATGCTTAAGTCTAAAAAAAATATTTATTTCAATTATTATTAACATGTATGCCAATTAATAGTCACTTTAACGTTACGATTGGGTTCTTAAAAAATGGGAGGTATACAGATGTTCTTCCATGTTATTAATCATTTATTTACATGGGAGAACATTCCTCCCTTCATGGTTACATAGCTCGGCTGCTAATGTTGGCCTTTAACCAATGATCAAACCATTGTGTACTTCATTGTCTTTATCCAGTATGTTTTAGAAGATTCTGCATCTATTAGATTTCATACCATTATGTTAGAATTTCTCAATTTTTAGGGTTGCATTGAAGAGAGATGACTAGATGGATTGAGAGTGGATTTTTTTTTTTTGCTGCTAATAGCGAGCTTTGTCATTGCTTGGTTATTTGTTTTGATAAATAATCATGGGCATGGGAATAGCAGTTATATAATTATGGTTTATCTACTCACCACATTGAGCATTATCAAATACATACAGGTCGAAAGTATTCTCGTGTCCTGTTTTGTAACGTTTCTTTCCGCCTGTATCCCACATAACAGAGACATGGTTTTCTGGCAGATTTGTACCTTCTTGTCCACTGATCTTGACAACTGTGCCAACGTGACCTTCACCTTTGTCTTGGTCAGCCCACTTCCAGTCTGGTCCTCGAACAACACGTAGACCACGTTTTATCGTTGTCATTGTTTTCCTCACAAACTTCCTGATAGATTTATATCAGCTGAAAATGTAGATTGATTCTATTATTGAAATCAGAACCCTAATCAGGGATTCAAAAACAGTGGTCGCCTTTTTTTTCCTTATTTCTTTCAAGAAATTATTAAAGACTATAGGTCTAATACTAATGTACTTACAATTTTGATCACACAATTTCATATTTAGAAATGTATGCTGCTTGTGAATAGGATTTATTAGTTAAACTTTATTTATGATACTGTACAATAAATTCTTTAAAAAATGTATTTTAAATAAAAGTTTAAATTGTAGGCCTAATTATTAGCCAAAGCAGAGTAACTTACTAAGCATTAAAATTAAATCAATGTATGACTCAGGCTAAAATATACTTAAATCCCAAATTGAAATTGATCTATTATAGTATAATTAGTAATTAGTATAAGTATAGGATCATATCCACATTTTCAACAACTTTTTAGACTCAAACTTAAGTGTAAAATGGTGCAAGAAATGTAGGCCTAGTGTTAGTATAAGAAAGAAAGTTTTGTATTTTATTTGTTCATAAGTTATGTTTAAATTAAAATGGGAATGTAAAGTTTAGACCAAAGTAATTGCTTATTCAACTTTATTTTTGGTAACCAATTGAATTTGAAAAATCTGATTTTAAATTTCAAAATTTCCTGGTTTACAACATGAGACTTAGAACAAAAATTGTCATCTTTTTAGGTTTTAGCCAGGCTATTTGTACTAAATCTTAACAGGCCTACTACGACAAACCATAGAAAGTTATCTATTTGGTTTAGTAAAACTCATCAAGCTCAAGGCTCAAGTCAAGTCTCACACTCAGTGTTAACACAGCCTGAGCCTTACACTTACACGCCTTACTCTTTCTCACTCTTAGTTGTTAGTAAGCCTGTAAGTTTTAGAGTCTTAGTCTTAGAGTTAGAATCTAATTCACTTTGACTGTGTCTGTAACTTTTTAACACTGTGACTGTGACGGTGTTAAAGTTAAATTTTAAATAACAACTGACGACTGTGTTATCACTGAGTTGAGTCAGGGCCAGGGCAAGGGCTAGTCCCGGTTAGTTTTAAGTTTAATTAATTTGAATAAGTCTACGAGTCTACGTGTTTCTTGTTGGTCATGTATGTCTTATTATTAAAACTTTAAGCTTATGTGCTATCTCTTCACATTTACCAATCGTTAAACTATACAAACAAGGACAAACCTGTTTGTGTCAAATGTTTTGGCCAAACAATACACACTCCAAATTCGAGGTTTCTGTTGGCCTGAGATGCACATATGATTTTGGAAATACCCGTTGTAACTTTACACCCACATGACTATCAGCGGATATTCCCGATATAAATTTTACAAATGAATTTTCTGCCAATTCGGCAATTGGGGATTTTGGAGACAAATGTTGATCAAACAGATTCTTTAAAAAATGTATTTCACTAATTCAGTCTTTCTTTCAGGCCCCCCTGCCCCACTCCCATCCCCCAGGTGGGGGGGGGGGATGTGTATTATAATAAAAGGAAGATTATATTTTATTAAAAAATACTACCAAATAGCCAAAATGTCATTTTAAAGGCAATATTTTATATAGTAACTGGTGGCAATTACCGATTACGATTAGTGATTAATGGAATCTAAGCGCTACGCTCGATATAATCCGTTTATAACCATCTAGTTCGACTGCAGTTTTTCTCGACCATCCTAATGACGCGACCCTTTAATGCCTTTGATACAGTTCCTCGTGTTGTGGTGACCCCCAAACATAAATTATTTTCGTTTCTATTTCATAAATATGTGTCTTCCGACGGTCTTAGGCGACCCCTGTGTAAAGGTCGTTTTTTGTCGCGACCCACAGGATGAGAACCCCTGTAGAGGCTCAAACTGTTTGACGCTAGCAGTGCTTTTTGTGGTAGAAACCGTTTTTGGAAGTAATGTTTTTTTCTTCTTTTTTTTTTTTTTTTTGTTTTTTTTTCCCTCAGAATTTTCCCTTAATTTTTTTAGAAGTTAACCCTAAAAATCCATTAATAAAAAAATTCCAAGTCAAATTACTATTTTTTTATTTTTTTTTTTTTTTTTTTTTTTTTTTTTTGTTTTTTTTCCCCTCAGAATATTCCATTAATTATTTAAGAAGTTAACCCTAAAAATACATTAATAAAAAAATTCCAAGCCACATTACTATTTTTTTTTTTTAATAAATAGACCAATAAATTGTATGACACGAGCAGGTTCAGCGGAGTCGTCGCTTGGCCTCTGCCACTTTTCGGTTTCGTCCTCGACCCACTTTGCATTCAAAGTTGATAATTAAAGCTCTAAAATTTTATAAGGTTCCATGTCGCCGTAGGGGTTGTGGCACCAACACGTTGGCTCTGGGGTAAATGACACATACATTTTTAACTAGCATTGCCTTCGTTTGTCTCCATTTAAATGTAGAATGTTGCAAAGCCCAATTCGGGTATTTTTTTTTTTTTTTGTTGGCAGATGACACAGAAATGTACACGTGTTTCTGCCCTGAACCTTTGTACTGTGCTGCTGTTGTGCTCGCCGTCGAGGGCTGCTGTCTTGTTGTGGTGAAATCATGGATGGGTTCTAACAGACTTACATTAAATGACGATAAGGCACATAGACAATTACATGTGGTTCTGATGCCAGTATTTGGAAGGTTTGCCATCGGATCCATAAAAGTTGGTGTTTCTGAGATCCCCCTCGTCCAACACTGTTAGAGACCTTGGCTTTTATACTGACAGCAAACTACAAGGATCTCTCATATCAATTATGTGGTCAGGGCTTTTTTTCTGTCATCTTCGCGCTCTGGTTCAGCTGCGTCCTCAGCTTAATAGGAGAACAGGCAATGCCTCCTGATCTAACCGAGATTAGATTACTGTAACAGTTGTTCGTGAGGTTTACCTCAACGCCAAATTCAGAGACTCCAGAAAGTACAAAATACTGCAGCACGCATTGAATCTCACACAAAAAAATCTGATCACGTCACCCCAGTTCTTAAGGATCTCTATTGGCTTCCTGTGAGTGAGCGCATTGACTAGAAAATTCTGCCCCTGGCGTACAGTACAGCTGTATTTGAAGGCTCTGCAACCGGTAGGCCAATATCTTCAAAAAACTGATATCTAAAAATGTATCCATACAGAACATGCGCTCTTCAACACAGTCCATACTGAGAGTTCCCAGTGGGGATGCGGACACAGGAAGAAATCTCTCTTTTGAAGCTATTGCGCCTAAATTGTGTAACAGTTTGTATCAATCTTTGAGGGACATTGAAAATGATAAAAAGTCATTTGAGAACCATTTAAAGACTGTTTTCTTTAAATAGATTTTAGGAATCAGAGCGCTGTGAGCCTGCTAAAATATCATCATGGACACAGGCGCTATAAAATTACTGAGTCATCATATGTTCTAAAATGCATTCTTGTATTTTGAAGTCATCAAAAATCTTCTGAGTTTTATAAAGTTTTAAGGGACGAGAATAACTTAGGGTAAGAAGCATACCCTCAAGGTCGCCACAACTGGAGTGAGTTTAGTTCATGTTGGTATTGTCGTGGAGGTAGAGATATTCTTGAATTATTATGGCTAATTTTGGCGCTTCCCACTCGAAAGTCTTAAATTCCTCGTCAAAATTATCTGAAAGAAACATCGAATTCAAGTATGCCCGAGAGTCTTCGACACCCTCTATTTCTGTACTCCTCTTCCCTCACACTGATCAATGTGACAGTACGGGGGGTTGAATATAAAGGTTACACAAATGATAATTCTGGGGCACTCCACAAATGGAATGAATTCAGTTCACTGGGCGCCAAAATCCCCCCCCCCCCACACAAAAAGCTTGTATAAAAAAATTCCCC